GGGGGGGGGGGGGGGCGGGCAGGGGCTCTGAAGGCCCGGTCCAGCAGCTCCAGACCCTGACAAAATGAAGGCTGGGTAGAAGGGAAGCGAGCGGACCGGGAGGAAGGTTCTCCCCGAAGTCTGAAACCTCAGTCCCGCCCCGCCATTCCGCACTTCTGAGTGGCTCGGGGCCTGGCAGGGCGTGGGCGGCGGGGGCGGGGGCTGGTTCTACATTCCGGCTCGGTGAGGGGACCTTTCCATCTCCGGTGGGGACAGGAGAGGGGGAGGGCATCACTGGGTGGGATTTCGGTAGCTAACATTCTCCTCTCCTTCCCTTGAAGCCCCGAACACAGTGAGGGGGTTCACAGGAACGAGCAGAAATCCCCTTCCCAATCCCCAGTCCTGCAACTGGGGGGCGCGGCTAGATGGGCTCCCTTGGGGTACTCTCCCCGACCCCCTCTGAAATGTGTGGGCGCCCCCTCCCCCACTCTCCTCTGGTTATTTTGGAGCCTGGGCTGCCAGCCGCTGGCCCCGGGTTTCCACGTGCCTCCTCCCTCCCCCTGCCCACGCTCCCCGTGACGCACATCCTCCGCCCACACAGCCTCTGTTCCAGGCGCCCCCCTCACTCCCACCCGGGCCCCTTTGAGGCAGCGCTGAGCCCCCGGTCCGGAGACGCAGGCCCCGGGAAGAGGGCGGGGTAGGGAGTGAAGCCAGCGAGGGGCAACCAACTGGGCTCCGGGCGATTGGGTCCCAGCGCGAAAGAGGACGAAGGAGGAGCCGATTCTATGGCCTCCACTCTTCGGACCTGGGGCGGGTATTCGGCCGGAGAGGGAGGAAGGGAGACCAATCCAGAGGCCTAGGCTTGCCCATTCCACTAGGAGAGTCGGAAGGGGTCTCTGGGTGCGAACCTGTGTGGTAGAGTGAAACTCCCGAGTGTTTGTATCATTGTTTTTCAGGGTTGTCGTGAGGTTCAAATGAGAGGATGTAAATGAAAACTCTGTAAAGTGCCAAGCAAATTTAAGACGTTATTGCCAGTTTGTGTCTATGTATCCTGAGATAATGTATTTATATGTTTCTTTACATCGACTTGTGTATCTGTGGCTCTGTCTCTATCTAGGTTTGTATGTGAGCCCCTATGTGTGGATTTAAAAATACATACATTTAAAAAATCATTGACTTGTGAAGCCCCGCCAGAGGCCCAGAGCGCCCCCGCAGCCGGAGCTGCTGAGATGTCTGTTCTTCGCTTCCCTCCCACTCCTGCCACCCCCAACTCTCCTCCTACTCCCTTCCGTTGAGAACTAGGAATTTCCAGCCTTTTGCAAATGGAGAGACAGAGACAAAGAGACTGAGACTATGAGAAGCTATAGAAAACAAAGATAAAAGATAGATGGGGGGGGGGGGGGGAATGATAAAAAAGAGGGTAGCACAACTACAAAAATCTTAATTTCTTCTCTTTTTCTCCGTGAGCCCCATTCTCCTCAATGTGTCTCGGGACCACTTCCGTACTTGACTCACCTGCTTCCCCTCTCCCCCACCTGAGTGTTCTCAGAGGCACACAAAGAGCACGGCAACGGATTCCATTTGATGGAGGATTAATATATTGTCTACACTGGTCCCTTCCAGGAAGGGAAACAGTATTCCGAGTCCCAATTTTCCAAGAACAGGGGAAACGATTGTGAAGAAAGTGGGTGGAAGAGGAGTGAGGAAATTGCTAACCAGAAGGATTGTCATTCCTGGGCACGTGTAGATTTTCATCTAGCAGACTAAACTGCTCACATTCCCCTCTGCTCCTTTTCTACCGGGCCAAATCCAGCTCATGCAGTGAGGACTGGCTCAAATGTCACTTTCCTGAACCCCCTCCAGGCAGAATTAATTCCTTGCATCCATCAGTGGCCTTGTAGCCCTTTGTACACATTTCAATTATAGTTGCTTGTCTCACCCTCAGCCCAAGACTTCTCCAGGTTAGGTCTAGTATATGGTGGGCCATCTGAAATGGATGTGTTGATGATGCTATTTCCCGGTCTGAACAATCTTGGAAAGGGCGATTCAGACATTTTACTCCCAAAGGGGCTGAACCTGGGCAAAACTGTTAGGTGGAGAGGTCTCCGTTCTTGAAGTTTCCAGTGAGTCTCCCACGTCTGGCTCTTTGGCCTTCTAAAACGTCCACTGTTGTGGGCGTCTGGCTGGGTTAGTCAGTAGAGCATTCAATTCTTGAGGCGGGGGGCATGAGTTTGAGGCCCACATTGGGCAGAGTTTACTTAAATCAAAAAATAAAAATAAAATGGCTAGTTTCTGGTAAGTTAATTCATACCCAAATGTCCAGATGTGAAAGGTAGAAGGCTGCAATCCTTGCTAGTAACAGAAAAATATGAATATAAAATAATGATTCTTCTTTCCTCTTTGTAACATATTACAATTAAATAGTCTAAAGAGTGTTGTCCTTCAGGTTAGTCATTTTAGAAGAGATGCTTCACCTCGCAAAGACAAATAATCCTAACCTCTGCCTTTAAGGAAGTAGGGATAGTGCAATAATAGGTGTACAAATAATGACAGAAATATAGGGGGCAAGTGGTGTTTTCTGCCTCTGGTAGAAGTAGGAAACCGGTTTAGACAGTCATCCAAAGGACGTGATGATGTAGCCTAGGATTTTGATGAATGAATAGATTTTCAGAAAAAAGGGACAGTCAAGTCAGGAGAGCAGAATGTAAACTTACACGGAAGTATGAAACATAATGATATGTTTCCAAAACTAGAAATTATTTGTTATTGCTGGATAGGCTGTGGTGGTGGTTAAAAACCAGCCCAGGGAGGTGTATGAGGCCATTTTATTAAGTGTATTATAGACTATCGCTTTTCTATATAGTAAAAGACCAATTCAAAAAATATCAATCTGGGGCACCTGGGTGGCTCAGTCAGTTAAGCATCCAACTTCGGCTCATGTCACCATCTCACAGTTGGTGGATTCGAACCCCGCATTGGGCTCTGTGCTGACAGCTCAGAGCCTGGAGCCTGCTTTGGATTCTGTGTGTGTGTCTCTCTCTCTGCCCCTCCCCTGCTTGCACTCTATCTCTCTCTCAAAAATAAATGAACATTAAAAAAAAATTTTTTTTATAAAATTAAAAAAAATTTCAATCCAGTGGCACCTGGCTGGCTCAGTCAGTAGAGCATGCAACTCTTGATCTTGGGGTTGTGAGTGCAAGCCCCACGTTGGCTGTAGAGATTACTTAAAAAATAAAATCTTTAAAAAAATTCCAATCTATCGTCCCCTACTTTTATAAAATACTCTACCTGTGAATTATTAGAAAAGGGAAATAAAATCTGTATTTTTATTAGATTCATTAAATACAAAAATTTTCTGTTGAATTGCTGGAAAAGTTTCTAAATGCTTACATTTAACTTTGAAATGCTTTCATTACAGATTGGTAACAAACTTTGAATAGCATTGTTGTAGTTAGTTTCTTTACATCTGTGTTTTAGATCATATTAAGAACCCTGGGCTTCATCACCTGAGATACTATGGAATCATAAAGACTTTATAACACGGGAGAGACATAGGCAGATCTGCATTTAAAAGTAGGATGGGTGAAGGGTTTTAGGGCTGCAAAAACAGCAGGGAAACCAGCTTGGAGTAACCCAAAGTGGTCCATGTGAGAGGTGGCAAGGTGCTAGATTACATGGCTGGCATGGGATGGAAAGGACACATTCACAAGAAAGGAAGTAAACTAAGTAGGACTTGATGATTGGTGAAGGGGTTGAGGGGGAAGAGAAGTTTAGGGTAACTCTTGGACTTCTAGCTTGGGTGACTGAGTAGATGGAATGGAGTGTCTTCATGAAATATTTATTGTCTGCAATCCTCTTCCTAAATTTAAGAAATTATGAAAACCAAAACTCTTTCATAACTCATTTGATACCAAAACCTAATCTGACCTAAACTTATTTTGTGGCGGACCTGCTAAACTTACAGGTTTTTTATAGTTTCATTTATCCCTCTTTCATTTATCCCAATACGAATATTTATGTCTCATTGCAGAAAAATTAATTTGTTTGATAACAGGGTGCTGTCCCAGGCCCCATTGGGATTGTTGCTTTATGTGTTCTATATGCACCATATTACCTTTCTAAAATCCAAAAATATTCTGAAGCACATTTACTATCCAGATTGTCCACCCCATTTACTCAACAGTCTTGGCCTGAGTTCTTTTGGCTATTTGCATAAATCAGATCCACCTGCAGATAATGAATATTCATTGCATTGTGTGCTATAGCCTCTGAAGATGGTTTTTTTTTTTTTTTTAAGATTTTATTTTTAAGTAATCTCTACACCTAATGTGGGCTCAAATTTACAACCCCAAGATCAAGAGTCGCATGCTCTACCAATTGAGCCAGGCTGGCACCCCCTGAAGATGATTCTTAAAGTGTTTTGAGCAGTGTCCTTGAGATTAAAATAAGACTAAAAGCTTCTTCAGTGACTACCTTGAAGTGACAGAACTTATTTGGATGTTAACGTGTAATGTGTTTATGGACAGTAAAGTTTCATTATTGTATACCTCCTTTGCACATGTTTTTGTTTTTTTAATTTTTTTTTAAGTTTATTCATTTATTTTGAGAGGGGGAAAGGGACTGAGAGAGGGAGAGAGAGAATCCCAAACAGGTTCCACGCTGTCAGTGCAGGGCCTGACGAGAGGCTCAATCTCACAAACTGTGAGGTCATGACCTAAGCCAAAATCCAGAGTCCAGCGCCTAACTGACTGAGCCACCCAGGAGACCCCTCCTTTGCACATGTTAAAAGTTAGTGGTCGTTGATCTACTGGCATTAGTTCCCAAATATGGAATTAGTTCCTTTGTTCTCTGGCCTTTATTCAAAACCAAAGAGTGAACTCTGCATGGTGGGAATTTGGGGCCTGGTAGAAGTGAGAGTGCGTGCATGTGCACATGTGTGTGTGTGCACGTATACCTTTGCACATGTGTGTGCAAGTTTATTTTTTAAAACTTTTGGATTTACAGAAAAATTGAGAAGATAGTATAGAGAGTTCCCATATACCCCACATCCAGTTTCCACTATCATTGCCTTATATCAGTATGCTGCATTTGCTGCTATTAATGAACCAGTATTCATACATTATTGTTTAAAATTTTTTGATGTTTTTATTTATTTTTGAGACAGAGAGAAAGCAGGAGCTGGGGAGGGGCAGAGAGAGATAGACACAGGAACTGAAGAGGGCTCCGCGCTGACAGCAGAGAGCCTGACACAGGGTTCAAACCCATGCATGAGCTGTGAGATCGTGACCTGAGCCGAAGTTGGACACTCAGTGGACTGAGCCACCCAGGCACCCCCATACATTATTATTAATTAAAAGCCTACAGTTTATTCAGATATTCTGAGTTTTCAACTAATTTTTTTTTTTCTATTCCAGGATCCCATCCATGATACCATATTACATTTCGTTCTTGTCTCCTTAGGCTCTTCTTGGCTGTTAGGCTCTTTCTTTGTTTTTGATGATCTTGGTAATTTTGAGGAGCGTTAGTCAGGTATTTTGTAGTTTGCCCCTCTATTGAAATTTATTTAATGCTCTTTTAATGATTAGGTTAGTTTTATGGGTTTGGGGAGAGGAAAACCATAGACATAAAATGCCATTTTCATCGCATGACATCAAGTATACATAGTATCAATGTGATTTATTACTGTTGATATTGACCTCTCCAGATCAGCCAAGGGAATGTGTGTGACACAGATACAGGGTTACTATTGCAGTAGCAATAGCCTAGACTTTTCTTTTTGAGGATGCAATTTCTTGTTTTGCCCATAGCTGAGACCCATTTTGACTTTTTTTTAAGTTTATTTATTTATTTCTGAGAGAGAGAGAGAGGGAGGGAGGGAGAGAGAGAATGGGGTAGGGGCAGAGAGAGAAGGGAGAGAGAGAATCCCAAGCAGGCTCTGCACTGTCAGCACAGAACCCAATGCAGGGCTCGAACTCATGAATTGTGAGATCATGACCCGAGCCAAAATCAAGAGTTGGACACTCAACCAACTGAGCCACCCAGGCATCCCGACCCATTTTGACTTTTTAAAAATACCTTGTTTGGGGACACATCTATATCTATATCTGTATCTATATCTATATCTATATCTATAGATAGGTATCTATATCTTGGTTTGAAAGCTTGAAATTTCCCCTGAAGTAACCTCCTTTCCTGAATTTCCTCTCCACTCACTAGACTCCATCATCTCTAGTGTTCCTACCCACCACTATCAGATCCTCTAAAAAAATTAATTGCTTCAATTTCTAGTAACATTAACTGAATACCTGTTTATGTGCCAGGCACTCTTCTAGGTCCTTACACTGTGTTAAATCACGTAATGGGAAGCAGCTTGATGCATAGAAAGAACTCAGTCTTTGGGTAAGACTTGGGTTGAAACCGCAGCCCAGCCCAAATAACTATGCAATCTTGGGCAGGTTCTTTGTATTAGCCTTGGCTTCTTCAATGGAGATATTTGTCTCACAAGACGCTGTAAGGAATAAAAAACTTTCCCTTAATCCTCACATTCATTTGACTTCCAACTGCCATGGGCGCCTAGCTGGCTTAGTCTAAAGAGCAGGTGACTCTAGATCTCAGGGTCCAGTTCGAGCCCTACATTGAAGGTAGAGATTATTAAACAAACAGACAAACAACTTTTTAAAAAACCTCAAAAGCCTCTGCCTACATTTTATTTTATCTTATTTTATTTTTTAAAGTTTATTTATTTATTGGGGCGCCTGGGTGGCTCAGTCGGTTGAGCGTCTGACTTTGGCTTAAGTTGCGATCTCAGAGTTGGTGGGTTTGAGCCCGACATCAGGCTTTGCGCGGGCAGTATGGAGCCTGCTTTGGATTCTCTGTCTCCCTCTCTCCCTGTCTCTACCCCACTTGCGCACTCTCTCTCTCAAAAATAAATAAACATTTTTATTTAATATTAAAAATAAAAATTTTTTAAGGTTTATTTATTTTTGGGGGTGTCTGGGTGGCTCAGTCAGTTGGGTGACTGACTTTGATTCAGGTCTTGATCTCCTGGTTCATGCATTCGAGCCCTGCATCAGGCTTTGCGCTGACAGCTCAGAGCGTGGAGCCTGCTTCAGATTCTGTTTCCTTTTCTCCCTCTCTCTCTCTCTCTCTCTCTCTCTCTCTGCCCCACCCCTGCTTGTGTTCTCTCTCTCTCTCTCTCTGTCTGTCTCTCTCTCAGAAATAAAATAAAAATAAACATTAAAAATTTTTTTAAATAAAAAGTTTATTTTCGTAATCTCTACACCCAATGTGGGGCTGAAACTCACCACCCAGAGATCGAGTCTCTTGCTCTTCGCTGTTTGGACTGAGCCAGCCAGGCACTTCCCCCCGCCCCCCTCCGATTTTTAAGTGCTACAAAAATGCCTACATTTTTAAGCGCTGGTGTTTATTCCCATAAAATACTGACATACTTTTTTTTTTTTTTTTTTTTTTTTTTTTTTTTTTTTTTTGGTGACTTGTTTTAAATCACCTAGGACTTTGGAAGACACATTGTCTTACTTAAAAAAAAAAAAAATCGTCCGTCAGAACCCTACTTATAAAGCGTCTCAAGAGTAAGTTACCCATAACAAAAAGATCATGTAAAAAGGAAAGAAAGATGGGGTATCTAGGTGGCCCTAGTCAGTTAAGCTTCCGACTTCGGCTCTGGTCATGATCTCCCACGTTCGTGGGTTCCGGCCCCGCTCAGGCTTTGCGCGGACTGCACGGACCCTGGAACCTGCTTCAAATTCTGTGTCTCCCTCCCTCTCTGCCC